ATATATATATATATTACTCTAGGTATGATATTCGTATTGAATCTCGATTAAATTTGAATTGATAGATTGCAGAATTCGTTCCCTTTTTATCTAATTGATGAGAAAAGGTTTAGAACACGAGAAAAGATAAAATTACTTATTTTTTACTTTTTAGTCTAATAAAAAAATATAATTATATATATTTCATACCTCATTTTGCAACTTATAATAATCACAACGTCTAAATTATGAATCTATCGTTATAAGAAAAAATAATAATAATATAAAAGTGGAGACAAGAAATTTTGTTTTCACGGTGTCACACCAGAAAAAAAAACCTGAATGAATTAAATATATTTTTGTGTAAGGTGTGTTAGATTTATTTTAGATTCTCTCTGCCATCAAAGCCTCCATTTTTATTTATGAATTATGTCATAAAAAATATTATCCTTTTTAAAATGTCACTAACCTGTAACTATTGTATGCATTTTATATTACAAACTGTTACAATGGAGCACTTAGCATGATAAAAAATTTTTAAAAAAAGGTATTTATGTTATAAATTATGGAAATGTTTATGTACGTATTTTTAAGTGATTATAATATAGATAAGTCAATTATTTAAAATATGTAACCTCCTTATTTGATTATACAGATTAATTTTGACAAGTTGTAAAACTCAAAACATATTTTAATTAATTTTGATACATAAAGGGCGATCGAATATACATACAAAAATAAACTTTGTAAAAATTTAAGTCGAAAGTATTTAATAAGAACACTTTAAAATGTATTTAAGTGCTCAATTAAATTAAATCATAATATGAATGACTTTGTAAAATTCATTGACGAGTTTAAGTGTTTGTTGATGTGTTTAACCTAATTTTATTATGTAAAATTTATTGAACTTTATAATAAGATTTTTTTTTTTTAAAAAAAAACAACACTGTACCTGAAGTTTGATCCATTTGTCCGTACAGACAACTACAAGGTTTACTAGCTAGTTACTTTCTCTATTTCTACTTTAATGTCAGAAAAATAAAAGTATTTTTTCCCACACGATTTTCGATACTTATTTGCAGTGTAACCTGATTAATTTAAATTTACGTAAAAAATTAAGAATGAAATATTCTTCATATAAAATGAATTTACCATCATAATTCAAATACGAGGCTTTTAATTAAGGAAAAATTACAGAAATCCCACCTTTTAGTTTACTTATTACCATTATCCACTATAAGTTTTACAAATTTCCAAAATCCCTCATTTTCGCGCATCAGATTAGTGTATCTCGCGCATCAGATTAATGTATCAGCACTTATATTATTGTATCTCGCGCATCAGATTAGTGTATCATGTATAAAATGTACATCAGATTAGTGTATCATGTATAAAATGTACATCAGATTAGTGTATCATGTATAAAATGTACATCAGATTAGTGTATCATGTATAAAATGTACATCAGATTAGTGTATCATGTATAAAATGTACATCAGATTAGTGTATCATGTATAAAATGTACATCAGATTAGTGTATCATGTATAAAATGTACATCAGATTAGTGTATCATGTATAAAATGTACATCAGATTAGTGTATCATGTATAAAATGTAATGTATCTTACTTAACGATTAGTGTATCTCGCGCATCAGATTAATGTATCAGCGGTTATATTATTGTATCTGTTTGAGGGATTTCTATAATTATAAACTTTTAAGGGATAGATTGTAATTTTACCTTAAAAGTATGTGATTTCTATAATTTGCCCAGTTGGTCTGTATATATAAGACTAAGAGATCCAAATCTAATGTAACCTAGCATATACATAGGAGGAACAATTTAATAAATAACAATAATTTGTATTATTTAGTATGATTATTAAATGGACAAAGTGGTCATATCCTATGACCTCATAATTTATGAGGTAGAAAACATTTGATCGTAGTCACTCAACTATAATAACTATACGTGTTATTAGAAGTAAAATCAAAATTTTAATCTTATATAATTTAAATTTTAGAATGATAAATTCAAATCATGATAATTAAAATTTTAAAGTTATAAATATATTATTTAAATAAAATTACTGAATTTGATCCACCCTATTTCTGAACATCTAGCTTTGCTCTTACAAATTCTCACTTTAATATAGTTGGTGTGTGTATATAGTCTAAGAGATTAATATTAAATAACAACAATTTGTATTATTTATCATGACTATTAAATGGAGGAAGTGGTCATCGCCTATGAAATCATTATTTATGAGGTAGATAGGCCTCAAATGGTAATCACTAAACTGTAATAACTATACACATTTTTGAGGCATAATCAGAATTTTAAATTTAATAAATTTTGAATTATAAATTGACAAATTCAAATCATATTAATTGAATTTTAAAATTTTTAAATATATATTATTTAAATAAAAAGTATTGAGTTTAATCAAATATAGATTTTTAAACTTGTAGCTCCACTCATGTATCCTTATTTTATAATTTAATATAAATAGCGAATATAAATAAAGATTTTTGAATTTATGGTCCTCAAGGGTTTAGGGGATGCCAAAAAGTCATTATTGGGTTGCATGGAATTTAAATAGGTAAGGTCCTAAAGGGGCTAAAGTGAGAGAGTGGGGACTATAGGGTACTTAAAGATCAATAAATACACCATTTTGTGTTGTATTTTTCATGATATAAAGTTTATGGGAATTTAGTAGGGTTACCTTCACGTGGGAAGCACGTGGACTTGCTGGAAGAATAATTTGTTAATTATATATATTTAATAAAATATATACTTCATTCGTTTCAATTTGTTTGA